AGAACACTTAGGCGGACCAAATGTTTTAATTTCATTAAACTTAGAAATTTTAAGTCTCATGTTTGTTTTGATCACACCTGGATAACAGTTAGCGAGAAAGATGTTGGTTTTCCCAAACAATCACCCATGTAGGTACTAACCAGGCTTGACATTGGTTAACTTTGGTGATTGTATGGGAAACGATGTTTCAACATGAATTTGCTGTAAGCAGGTATTTCTGGGAGGTATATGAGGGAAGTATTTATACCACACTCTGTACATATATACATACTGGCCAAATCACCCCCACCTTGCTGTGTGTCACAGATTTCTTTTGTAAGAAAATGATGGTTGATTTTAAATCATTGTTATAATTTGTGGAGAAAAATGATGCATTTCAATATTACTCAATGATCTTGCCCATGTGACCTCCATCTTCTGACTTTCTCCTTCTATATTTTTGATAAGAATCATTCCCATGTTCAAATTTTCAGTAGTGGTTTTGTATCCACCAAGGACCCTCTTTGATCAAAATGAAATATACTTATCCAAGTACACTAGGAGTCATTCCCTTCAAATTTAAATTTAATTTATATAAAAGGGAAAAAAGTTTTCAGTGGAAGGTTTGTGCCCCCTGGGAATGCCCTTTGATCAAAATGAAATATACTTATCCAAATACTCTGGGTAATGTCATTTCAGAATATATATATTTATGGAGATCTGTTACCAAAACCCTAGGAGGAGTTCAATAACAGACAGAGGCTACGACATATATATATATATATATGTATATGCATTGCTCTTTGTAAGAATTGAGTGCTATGGCGGTCAGAATGGCATTTATGTAGCATGTTTATAATACATTAAAATTTCCTTTCTTTGCCGTGCACCAATAGCCTAAGGGTAAGTGATGTCACAGGGTTGAAAGTTGGCGGTGTTCAGATTGTTGATCATGCTACATAACATGCTCTCTCTCCCAGAAACTGTAACTAAGGTCTGCTCAGCATAGTTGCCGGTTGGCTCTGTAGGTGATGAACAAACACAAATGTGCCTGAGCGAGCATCTACAATAGAGTGGCCAGCTATTATTATTATTTAAATACATATATATATATCATACTTATTATAAAACCCAGGTTGTGTGTGTGTGTGTGTGTGTGTGTGTGTGTGTGTCTATTCGTTTATATATTGGATCGTATTTCCTACATTTTTCAACCGATTTCAACAAAACTTGACAGGACTACGTAAAATTACCTTGCGGTGGTTCTGACAGTGCCAAAAATTGGAGAAACACAATTGTTTTTGCATGAAATCAATTTGAAAACACGATTAAGAGGCATCGCCAGAATGAAAGGGGGACAACTCATATCGAGTTATATTATTATTATAAAAACCCAGGTTGTTTGTGTGTGTGTGTGTTCCTTTATATATTGGATCGGATTTCCTACATTTTTTTCAACCGATTTCAACAAAACTTCACTTTTTTTTTTTTTTGGGAGTGTTTCTTATTGTCTTGCACACTTTTTTCTTTATTTTTACATTCAGAATGCTTTAAAATTCCATTTACAAGACAATTGTTTATAATAAAATTCTATTCAATCGGTAGACTCATAACGATTGAAAACAATGTTTTTGTTTGAGTTTGGGTTTGACCAATTCGTAAAAAAAAAAAAAAAAAAAAGAAAAACTAATTAAGACATGCGTGTCCATCAACCTTAAACAATAATCTTTGTCAATTTTATTTTTCAGTCTTTATGATGGTTGATACTTGATCTATCTTTATACTTTACATCCCGGGCAATGCCGGGCTCTACTGCTAGTATATATATATATATATATATATATATATATATATATTATATAATCATTTTTTAAAGACAAATGTTCTTTGTTAAGGAATCTTGATTTATTTCTGTTATACCGGAACATACCTATTCTATTGTTAATAGACTCTCCCACAGATAATAAGTAGTAGTAGTAGCAGTCGCCAGGGGGCTCAGAGTGAATTGGTGAGTCAGTCGATGTCGAACATTGAAGTATCAACCACCACAACTAGATTGCTGCGTCATTAACTATTATTTTCAAGTTCCTAATGTTTTGTATGTCGGACCCTTTTAGGACCGACTTAGTGAAATACAAGCCTCCACTGTGAAAACTACTCTACAACAATTTCATAATTTGGATCATTTTCTTGGTTTCCAGTGTCTATATATGTGAATATAATAAACTCATCGCAAATTAGCAGGCCATTATCCATTATACCAGCCTTACAGCCAAGCGTACAGAACCTGGTATTCTGAAGCTGTCACCCATGTAGGTGCTATCCAGCCTCAACATTGCTTTACCAAAGACAGACTAATTGGGCATTTGGCACAACTGCAGATGAAATTTTGCATACATTAAACTGATTCTGCTCTCGTGGAGTTTCATAAAAACAAAAACAGTACTTTATTTATTCATACTCTTTGGGCTAAAAACATAATGATGGACATAATTTATTTAAGTTAAACAAATTAAGTTGGAATCCTTTTAACTGTGTCTGCAAAATTACTGCTTCAGTTTATTTTCTCTTTTGTATTCCTAAATGTCCATGTGTGTGTGGCCATGCCTGTCAGTCTGTTTCTCTCTCTCTCTCTATATATATATATATATATATATATATATATATATATATATATAATATATATATGTATATAAATAAATTTGAGAGAACCTGAATGTTGCAAGTAATAGATACAAATTATTTCCTAAAATATTATGAAAAATAAACAATAAGAGATGATAACACTTACAGAACAGACCAACCGTTTCATTCCCAAAGCATCAGGGTCAACTAGGGAACAATTTAGCAATTATTGCAATATATATTGACTCACACAAACAACCTACATACAATTAAAACGTTAAAGAATGAAATGATTAATGGTATGAGGAAAAAAAAAAAAAAAAATGGTGCAAAAAAATCAGCAAAAAAAAAAAAAAAAAAAAGTGAGTGTGAGGGGAATAAAATACACACTAGAGTCTAATAACGTGAAACCCAAAGGAGATTAATCTTTTTTGAAGAAAGAAAATTTCCTGGACAGAATAAATAGATTCAAATGCCGCCAAAATGAAATTTGAAATATAGATTTGAGTCTCTGTATATTCAGTCCAGGGAGCCATCCTTTGTAAATTCATTTTTTGATTTTTTTTTTATAAAATACCATTAATCATATCATTTATATATATATATATATATAGAGAGAGAGAGAGACAAATAGACCAACTTTGAACATAGGCATATGTATATATACCTACATTTGAAGTACAACTTAAGTTTTGTTGTTCTACCAACTCATCAGGCACAAATTAAAAAAAAAAGAACAACGAAACTTAAATTGTACTTCAAATGTAGGTATATGTATATTTGTTAATTTTGTTATATACCATACTTATGAACAGTAATGGGTATGTCCCAATCCTCATAAATGCATTAAACAATATTGTAAGAGGAGGTAAGACAATAAACTACATCCAAACTCAGGGTAAGACAAAAAACTACATCCGCGTCCAGGGTAAGACAATAAACTACGTCCAACAGCAAGGCCTCTGATCAGGAGGCTTTGAGGAGTTCTGGAACCACCTCTTAATTGCTGGTGTTCCCAGGTCCACCCTGACCGGGGTGGTAGCACCTGTTAGGGTCCCAGCTATGGGCAAATAGTTAACCCCGAAACTGAGGTAAAAAGCCTTATGAAAGTGTAAAAACAGGTTTTAATACCAGAAATACTTCGTAAAAAATATTATTACTAGAAATAATTTTTTGAAGGAAAAAAACTATTACCAGCAATACGTTTTTGAAAAAAAATATTACCAGCTATACAATTTTGAAGAAAAAATATTACCAGAAATAGATTTTTGACAAAACAAAAAATATTACCAGGAAAAAAAAAAAAACCATACAAAATTAAATGAGCCATTGAGGTTGATATGCCAATAAATAAAAATGTTATGGAGTGGTTTTCACAGTGGAGGCTTGTATTTGTACTAAGTCGGTCCTAAAATAGGTTCGACGTACAAAACGTTAGGAACTTGATATAATAGGTAATGACTTGAAGAAATCTAGTTGTGGTCGCTGATACTTTAGTATCCGACTAATGGTCGTCCGGCATCGACTGACTGACCGACCCACTGAGCGACTCCCTCGTTACTCTTACTACTCCTACTTATTATAGGTGAGAAAGTCTATTAACTATAGAATAGGTGTGTTCCACTATAACAAGAAAACAAACCAAACCAAACCACCTCTTCTCACCCAGCTATAGGTTAAATAGTAATACGTATTAACTGCCTTCTTTTCTTTGTTGTTTCCTTGATTTTTTTTAACTTCATGGCAAATCTTTTTTTGAGAATGCTAGTCTGAATTAAAAAAAAGAAAGGAAAACGCTTTCTCCACCTTCAGCAGTCTTCACGACTCACACAACAAAAGAATTCCAGTCAGTCTGCATTTTCGTGGGCTGATGCATTCCTACCAGTGGCACAAGATTCAAGGGGTTACTGGGAGTGAAAGAAACTGAGAAAACGTTATTGTAGGAGAAAGGGCAACAAAAGAAGAGTGTTTTAGGAGGCAGAAGATGTTGATTGACGTTGCATTTAAATTTTTGAAGATCAAAGGTGACAGGAAAGCAAGAAGCTGGAAGAGAGTGCCACAAATGAGAAGTGTAAGAGAAGAAACTGTTAGCATAGAACTTAGAGTTGCAGCTAACCATTTCAACTATAAAATGAGGAGACCTAACTGCCAATCTAGTACTGTCCTTAAATTCATTATCAGAACAATTGCCATAAAAAGAATTATAGAGATGACAGCAGAAACAATGGATGGAATCATATCCACACCATGCTGTTGAGACTCATTGCTAAGTGAAAATATCTCTCCATCTCGGGCTGTTTCTTATCTATCTACCTGTTTGAGTCTGTTATCTGAGTCTATTCATATCTATTTATCTATCTATCTCAGTCCTTTTGATATCTATCTATCTATCTAAGTCCTTTTCATATCTATCTCAGTCCTTTTCATATCTATCTATCTATCTATCTATCTATCTATCTATCTATCTATCTCAGTCCTTTTCATATCTATCTATCTATCTTAGTCCTTTTCATATCTATCTATCTATCTATCTATCTATCTCACTCTTTTTCATGTCTGTCTGTCTATCTATCTATCTATGTCCTGTTCATATCTATCTATCTCTACCTATATACCTCTGTTGATTTCTATCTATCTATCTATCTATCTATCTATCTATCTATCTTGGTCTGTTCATATTTATCTATGTCAGTCTGTTCATATCTATCTATCTCTTTATGTTCATATCTATATTTCTATCTCAGTCTATTCATATCTATCTATCTATCTATCTATCTATCTATCTCTGTCTGTTCATATCTATATATCTATCTCGGTCAGTTCATATCTGTCTATCCATCTCAGTCTATTCATTTATTGCAACTTTTGTTTAGGTCTTTCCATTGATAGAATCAAATGAGAGTTTTTGGGTTCTATTGATATAATCACTTTGGCACTTATGAAAGGCATGAATGCAACTATCCCTGCAGTCAATCCTATTGTCGTTCCTCTTGAAACTTATCTACTAAGTGGCATAACAGAAAAGACACAGGTTGTTTTCTATGTATGACAATTTGTGTAAAATTATCTTACCTAGCCAGATACTAAATACAACATAGTATATCCTTTGTTAGTCTTGCCAAGAGAATGAGCCTTCTCCATCTTTTGAACAAGAGTACACGTTTATTCTTTGTTTCCTGTTTAAGATTGTGTTTTCTGGTTCTTTCTTCCCAAAGTTTTCTCATTCTCTTTGACTCCCTGTGACTCCTTGCGTCTTAGTGGCATTATTGCCTTGCTTGAGGTGAAATGGTTAAAAAAAAAAAGGAAGAAAAAAAATTGATGCAAAAATATTTATAGAAAAGGTAGAGGGAAGCCATTTTTTCCACTTTATTTATGGCAGCAAAGAAAGATTTTTTTTCTGAGATATTCTTCCTGGTAATCCAACCTTTCTCTTCGTGTTGCTAATATCGGTAGCAGGCGAAATTCCAGATAATGGGTAAATTGTCTGAATTCTTCCAGCTCAGTAAACTGACGAAACAGGAGGCAGTAGTACATTGTCAGTCATTTCAATAGAGACAATACCATGTTTTTTTTATTTCAGTAAGAGGGAGAAGAACGGGGAGGGGAAGCATAAAACCTGATTCAATTGTGAAATAGAAATTCCTATATTGCCGAAGCACTTGATACTTTTTCATTCTTTATAAATATGACAATAAAAAAAAGAAAAGAAAACTCAAGTTTAAGTTTTTATTTTCTAAAACAAAGTCGTTAATGATTTAGAAATTAATTTATATGAAAAAAAATATTAATTAAAATTTAACAACAGATTTTTTTAATATTTTCGGGCTATAGAAGTTCAAATTTTAACCTTCCCACCCACCTGAAAATTTATGGTCATAAAATTTTGCAAAGTGAATTTATTTTCTAAAAAGTAGATTAAAATTCTTCTTCTATATACCTTCAGCACATAGGTGATCATGGCTCTCCACAATTTTCCGTCCTTTTTGCTCTTAATAAATTTTGTCTTTTTGTTATCTCTCCTAAACTTAGTTCTGCCATCCATTCATTTAAGCTTGCTAGGTAGGTTATACATTGTTTTCCCCTGTCCCTCTTGCCTTCAATCTGTCCTGTGAGTATCAAGTTTTCCAAGCCCTCTTTCCTCATTATGTGCCCTAGAAATTTCAACTCTCTTTCTAATGTTAAGTAGAAGTGTCCTTTTTGTTTCCATTTTCCATTAAAACTTTGTTGTTGCAAACATATTTGGTACCTGGTATTTTCAGCATCCTTCTGTAGAAACACATTTCAGTTGCTTCAAGTGTCTTCTTCATCTGCCATTTAGTAGGACTGACATTATGTAACAGTCTAGTAGTCTTTGTTTCTAATTTTCCTGTTTCTTAATACTGTACTTAGCTTTAGGAAGGCATTTTTCACTATCTCAATGCACCTTTGGTTTTCAGTGTCCTCATCTTTGTCGTCATATTTATCACAACATTTTGGCAATGTGAGCACTGGTAAAAATGGTTGCTGAAGACATTAGGTTTATAATATCCAGAAATTCATACACAGATGTCCTCAAGGACACATGGCACAGTAGATAAAAGCATTGGTTAGATCCAGTGACAGGACCCAAAGAGTGTGAGTTCAATACCCGGTGAAGGCAGTGGAGTACTTGGAGAGGGGAATTAACAGGAGATAACTGATAATTGACAGTCTACCCCAGTGAGCGAGACAAAGGGTTCAGTTCGACATTCCAACCACCTGAAGAAGGCCGAAGATGAGGACAAGAGTCCAAATAATGTAAATAGTGTTTCAGTCTTTCTCATCAAATTTTGAAATGAATGCCCTCTTGAATGCAAGTGTCCCCCAGGGCTCTAACTTTGGACATACTTTGTTCTTAATTTTTTATTACCGACCTTCCCGATGACTCAACTTGTCTTGGTGGCTGATCTCAAAAATGACCTACAATTAGTTGTTAACTGGGGCAAAGAATGGCTTGTTAATTTTAACACCTCCAAAACAAAACTGCATTCTATTAATCATCAGAAAGATGCCTATTTTATTGAATAAATTTACTCTGTAGTATTTAAAGATATTTTTGTGTAATTTAAGTAAATATATCTGTAACAATGAGATGTCAGTGTTATTTTCATTCTGAAGATTTCAAATTTAGAAAAAAAATTTATCCATCGCAAAAATTATCTATTTTAAACTGTTCATATCTCTCTCTCAGGTTGTTCATATCTACCGATCAATCTCTGACTGTTTATATCTAACTTAGCCTGTTCATATCTATCTCCTTTAGCCTTTTCCTATCTATCTATCTATCAGCCTGTTCATTTCTATCTATCAGTCACTCTTAACCTGTTCATATCTCTCTTTTAGCTTGTTCATATCTACCTATATATATATCTGACTGTTCATATCTATCTATCGATCTTAGCCTGTTCATATCTATCCTTTTCTCTTAGTCTGTTCATATATATCGATTGATTTATCTATTGTCCTGTTCATATTTATCTATCTATCTATCATCCTGTTCATATCTATCTATCTATCTATTACCCTGTTCCTATCTATCTATCCTTATTTTTCTCATTCTGTTCCTTTCTATCTATCTATCTATCTATCTATCTATCTATCTATCTAAATGTTCATCCACATTATCTATTCAATCCCTGTTTATCTATCTAACAATGTATCTATCTATCTATCTATCTGTTTTGTTTCATCTATATTATCTATTTATTCATCTATCTTTTCTTTTCATAAAAATCTATCTATCTATCTATCTATCTATCACCCTTTCTAGTCTAATCTATCTATCTATCTATCTATCACCCTGTTCATACCTATCTATCTATCACCCTGTTCATACCTATCTATCTATCTATCTATCTATCTATCTATCTATCTATCTATCTATCTATCTATCACCCTGTTCATACCTATCTATCATTCATCAAATTTCTTCAAAAATCTTTCTTCGCTTCTATCTATCTATATCTGGATTTTCATAA